TTAAAAGCCTCTGACGATCCCAGCTGAGCCGCGCGATCATCAGAGGCCTTTTTTTTTACGTTTAAAAGCATTTCTTCAGGCCAAAGAGGTTGTAGAAAACATGCTTTTTAAATTTTTTTTAAAAAGCCTCTGATGATTGCGTGGCTCAGCTGGGCATGGGGAGGTGGGCAGTGATTTTTGCTACCGGTTCTCCGAACCACCCACCGCCATCGCTACCGGATCGGGCGACCCGGTTTGAACCGGTAGCATTTCACCCCTGGTTTAAGCACTTCCTTAAAAGTTACTGTAAACCATCTTCGGCAGCTGTTTCTGCCCATGCAATGGAGTGCCTGCCTGCCTGGGTGTGTTGTGTTTTGAAATCACCAAGAAGTGGCAAATAAGGCTAAGACACGGAGGAGCGTTGTGCAAAGAACCTCACGTACATATTCCGTGCTTTGGAGCTAGAGATGACAAAGGCTGCAAGAAAGGGAGTGGATGATGGTTTGGGGAAAAAGGGGATGCCTGAACAGCCCCGCTGCCTTAAGGCCCAAGTTTGTTGGATAAAGGGAGTTGTGGGCTCGGAAGCAGCCTCCAGACATCCCAGTGGTGGGGGGCTGGCAGTCAAGTCTGCACCCACAATTTCAGTGCCGTGTCTGCTTCCTTCGGTCGGCTGTCTTTCTGGTGAAGTGTGGCTTGCTTAGGCAAAGCAAAATCCAATCGGTTGGAGGGCGCCGGGCTGGCGAAGGAAGCCTGCAGAGCATTCAGACAGCGGAAGAGAGTTGCCCGGTCTGCAGGCAAGCCTCGGCTGCCCTTGGAGTTCCCCTAATGGGAAAGTTCCAGAGTGCCCAACTTTGCAGGGTTTCTCGTAAAGGCTCAATTTGGAAATTGGTCCAGACACCGGAAGGAAGGATAGAAAAGTTGACCTTCCTCCAGAGGGGTGAGGATGGCCTTGAACTTGGGGCCGGGAAAAAGTGGCAACGTGTGGAACGTGGCCTTGCGCCCTTGCTCGGTGGCGCCGGAGCTGCGCGACGGATCCGTCCCTAGTTGGTGGCAGCAGCCCCAGATAGGAAGGGCTGAGGTTCAACCCACAGCCTCACTGGGGGAAGGTGGGGAAAATCCTTGCCCACAAGAGGAGAAAGGGAGGAGCAGGTGCTTCGGCACGCTCGTCTCATCCCCGCACGACTTCTCTTCTACACCCAGCTTCCTGCCCTGCAGCTCTTTGTTCTCGGCCTGTTCCTGTGGTTAACCACCATCTAACTCTGAAATTAAGGGACCCCAGCTTTGCAAGAGGAAACCAAGCAGGTGTCAGGCTGGAAAAGGACGATTGTGATGGCAGAAGCTGCAAAAATGGTGGGGAGATTTTCAGGGTGTCCCTTTTCCGGCTAGGTCAGGGGTCTGCAACCTTAAACACTCGAAGAGCCATTTGGACCCATTTCCCACAGAAAAGAGAACGTCCAGGAGCCACAAAACCCTTCCCGTGCCTAACTATTCCTTGTAGTTCTGTTTTCTTCTGAAACTTTTCTTTTCTTGGATTTATCCATGGTTGGCCTACCGGGGTTTGAAAAGCTCAACAAATTGCGTGCCGGCAGGTGTCGCATGGGTGTGACATATATTTTGAGTGACAGGGAGCCGCAGCAGAGGGGTGAAAGAGCCACATGTGGCTCCAGAGCTGCAGGTTGCTAACCCCTCAGCTAGGTGAATCCCAGATTAGCAGCTGGATTGAAGCCAGAAGTTGGAAAGCTGTTGCTTAATAGCTCCCAGTAAAGGCTGGAAAGGAAGTAATTGGCTCAAGGGAAACAACCAAGGATGAGAATGAGGGGCATTATATACGCTGAGATGCCTGTGAAATCCACACGGGTGAATGGTACAATCCAGCTGAGCAGGAAAGGAAAGAGACCAGGGGTGGGCTTCAAAAATTTTAGCAAGGGCCCAGTTGCTGGGTGGGTGTGGCCATGGTGGGTGTGGCTAGTTGGCCTCCTGCACCATGGGGGGGCGTTTTTGCCCTCCCCAGGCTCCGGAGGCCATCTGGAGGCCGGAAATGGGCCTGTTTCCGGCCTTCTTGAACTTCTGGTAGGCCCGTTTTTCACCCTCCTCGAGCCTCCATGCATGCCCTACACTTATGGGGACTCCTGCGAGGGGAGGGGAGGGGTGGGCGGGGCCAGCCAGGAGAGGGATTTGGGGGTTCTCCGAACTGCACAGAATCTTAGCTAGAGGTTCTCCCGAACCCCTGCGAACCCCCAACAGCCCATCCCTGAAAGAGACGTATTCTTAGATTTCCAGAGGAATTACTTCACGTTCCTGGTGATAGAGGCTTCCCTTTTATGGTATGCACCTTGGAGACGTTCGATAAAACGAAATCGGGAAGGAGGCCCTTTTCCCAACTAAGCATTAAGATTTGCAGAAAATAGATCATACGCCCTGGAGAAAGTTTAGCGCCTCCAATGTTGGCGTGAAAACAGCAAAGGCTCACCTGTCGCTAAAGGATGTGGCTCAGAACCGTGCTTGCTAAATAAGCCACCTCTGGCTACATTAACGCGTGACATTAAGGCACGACAACCTGTAGATCGTGGGGAGGGGGTCCACAGGACACTAAGCCACAGACCAGCAAACTTCCCAGAACGTGGCTGCCTGAACCAAGGGAATTCCTCAAGGCTACGAAAAGATACCGTGTTTCCCTGAAAATAAGACCCTGTCTTATATTTGGTTGAACCCCGAAATAAGTGCTTGGCCTTTTTTTTGAAAAACAGTGCATTGTCAGGGTATACCATTTACAAATAAAAAAGACCCCCCCCCTCAAAAAAGCGTTGTTACAACGTTGACATAAAGCTAATAATAATAATAATGATATAGTAACAATAGTAATAATATAACCCAAAAGCTTTTAAGCTGAGTTTCTTCTTACATTAAAATACTGTGATTATTTACCTTATTTTCTTATTTTCAGTACTAACATTTATGATCTTACTTTTCTCTAATTTACTTTATCATTTACTTTATTTTCATTTTTATTTTTATTTTTATTTTATTTTTATTTATTTATTTTAATTTGATTTATATGCCGCCCTTCTCCGAAGACTCAGGGCGGCTTACAATGTGCTCAGCAATAGCCTTCATCCTTTTGTATATTTATACAAAGTCAGCTTATCGCCCCCACAAACTGGGTCCTCATTTCACCTACCTTAGAAAGGATGGAAGGCTGAGTCAACCTTGAGCCTTGGCGAGATTCGAACCCTGCAGTAATTGCAGGCAGCTGGTCTTAATAAGCTTAATAACAGGGTGCCTTAAACCCCTGTACTACCAAGGCTCTTCATTTACATTCTATCTACCATGTTTCCCTGAAAATAAGACCCTGTTTTATATATTTTTTAACCCCAAAATAAGCGCTGGGCCTTATTTTCGGGGAGGTCTTATTATTTTGGGTGGTGGGGAGACGGGGCTCCTCTTGCCGCCTTACCTGATTTCCAGCTCTGTCTCCCTAACCCTAACCAGAGGAAATGGCGGGGACCAGCTGCGCAGGCACTTAAATATTTTCAGGGGAGGGTTTATTTTCAGGGAGGTCTTATTTTCGGGGAAACACAGTAACAAGGAAAGTTCTCACTTTCTTTGCTGGTAAAAGCACAGTCAGAAATATTTCGTTCGTGGCTTTTTTTTTTTTTAAACTTTTTCAACAGGATTCCGTGCACTCTAAACAGCCAAATTTCAGAGGGGAGATAAATATTAAATCTCTAGTTAAATGCCCAACAGGGACTTATTAACTAACTGGCGCTCAAAGGTTAAGAGTTTGATGCTTCTCAGTGCCCAGATTGGGCCCAGCTGTCTACTTCAGAGTTTCATTTAATGGAGAGTCAAAATCAGTAACCACAATAAATGTCCGGGTTTTTTTTTTCCCCCTCCAGCTTCCACAGGGGGGGGGGGGGGAGAGGGGAAGAGCCGACGGGAGGACAGAGTCCCATTGTCCTTTCCATGGGCGCGAACTGTAGCGAGACCACCAGCAGTGCAAAGTTTAGCTAAAAATTTAAAAAAAAACAACAGTTCAGCCAAGTTGATAAATTTTGGGAAAGGCTGAACCCCTTGCAGAGAAAGATTTAGCTGAGCAGCCAAGAAAAAGTTTGGCACTGCAACCCAGGAGCTCTGCCTGCGCCTAGCATCCTCCCAGGGGCCCTTTGTGCCCACAAGACCCAATACCCTCCGTGGTGGCGGTGATTAATGTGCCTTTTCTTCCTCCAACCGGCAGGCAAATCTGTGGGCATTGTCACCACCACCCGCGTCAACCACGCCACGCCGAGTGCTGCTTATGCGCACTCGGCCGACCGGGACTGGTATTCGGACAACGAGATGCCCCCGGAAGCGCTTCAGCAGGGGTGCAAAGACATCGCTCACCAGCTGTTTGAAAACATCCCAGACATCGAGGTGAGTCCAGTGGGAGAGGCCAGGGAAGCCGATTTAGGGCAGGGGAGCTGCAAGTGGTGGAATTCAAATTTTTTTTTCTGCTGGTTCTGTGGGCGTGGCGTGGCTTGGTGGGTGTGGCTGGGAAGGATACTGCAAAATCTCCATTCCCACGCCACTCCAGGTGAAAGTTACTGCAAAATCCCCATTCCCTCCCCACTCCTGGGGGAAGGATACTGTAAAATCCCCATTTCCTCCCGATCAGCTGGGACTCGGGAGGCAGAGAATAGATGGGGGCAGGGCCAGCCAAAGGTGGCATTTGCCGGTTCTCCAAACTACTCAAAATTTCCGCTACTGGTTCTCCAGAACCTGTTGGAACCTGCTGAATTTCACCCCTGGTCCAGAGTGCCGTTTCTCTTCCTTGGAGGGCTCCCTGGATGAAGATCCTCCAGGGAGATACCCCCCCAGGACTTATCCAGGTAAAAGGAAACAGACGATGAGCCAGGTGTTCCCACCCAGTTTGAGCAACGGGAGGTCCCTTCCTTCTCCATTTCGGTTCTCCGTCTGCAGCAAGGAGGCTTTGGTGAGCAGACTTCTTTGATGAGAAGCCCCTTCAGGATCCGGGCCTGGGTCTGCTTTGCTGCATTTTGAACCCAGGAGCTGAGAATGGGATGGAGACTTCCCCTCTCACTTGTGTCAGCGTTTCAACGCTGGCATAGAGAGCAGAGGAGAGCAAGAGATAAACTCTGAAACTTTTGCCTGCCAAACCCCTTTGAAGTCGGGTTGTCGTGGAAATGAGGGGAGGGGGCACATTCCTGGGAAATGACGAGGAAAAGAAGTCTGAAGAATGACTTGGAAGATAGCCAATGAGAAGCAGAGATTTGGGGATCGGAAAGGGAGGGATTGGGGGGCAAAAGGTCAGTCTTGTCCGCGCGGAGTCATGATCCGGTGGCTGTGCTCAATTAAAGAAAGATTTCCTTAAAGATTGGCAGTTTGGAAATTCATTTAATTTTGAGATAGCATCGTAGTCTGACAACCTGTTTGATCTTCTGTCAAGCAAAAAAACCAAAAGAAAACAAAACCAAAAGGGAGAGAAACACTGGATCTCAGTTCCACCCAACAACCTCTGATCTTCTAAGATGGATTTTCCTTCTCTGCCTCTCACATTGATTGGGGGGACCACCGTTCCTTCCGAATCCCGGTCTTGGTTGGCCTCCATCTGCCCACTTTCACCAGTCAAGCCATCTCCCCAAAGAAGATACCTACTGATCTGTTTGTTGTGGCCTGCCAACGGAGCTGGCAGCAGAGTCAGACAATGAGGAGGTTGGGGAGGAACCTGGAGGCTGGGGAAGGCTCGGACGAGGGCTCTGCCTCGGAGGCAGAGAGGGAGCCAAGGCTGTCTGGCAGTTATCAGCTGCCTCTGGAGCTAGACAGCAGTGAGTCAGAGGAACAGCTGGAGCCTGTTCCCAGAGCTGCCAGAACAGCTAAGAAATCAGGGTCAACTTGGGTGTAAAGCCACAGATTTTTATTTTATTATTATTTTAATTTTATTAATCATATTTCTATGCCGCCCACTCTCCGAGGACTTGTCTTACAACAAGCGACAGTATACTAAATAGCATATTGCCCCCTAACAATCTGGGTCCTCATTTTACCCACCTTGGAAGGACGGAAGGCTGAGTCAACCTTGAGCCAGTGAGATTTGATCTGCTGATCTGCTGAACTAGCAGTCAGCTGAAGTAGCTGCAGTACTGCACTCTAACCACTGCGCCACCTCGGCTCATACACAGATGGATGATGAATGACCTATCCCATAGGAAAGAAAAGAGGAGTGAAAGGGGAGTGGGCTTTTGCAGGAAACCGTTCGTTCGTTCGTTCGGTTCAGGGGTGTAAAGATCCATCAATCTCAGAGACTCTGTGCCAAGTCTTTCCTTGCACAGCACTGGATTTGGAAAATATTTACATGGCAGCTTTCCAAGCCAGATAAGGTCTGTGGTCATAAATTCACCTTTGAAAGACTGTTTCTCGGGACCAGAATTCTGCTTCGTGGTTTTGGGGGAAGCCTAGGTCAAAACACTGTTTTAAGGGCAGATGTGGATCATTGTCTCATGGACGACGGCCAAGAACGTCATTCTTGGGCCAGGATTTCGACAGAGCTCACTTCCTTCTGATCAGACGGCGTCTCCAATGAGGCTCGGAACGAGACGGCTGTCGGTCACATCAAGTTCCTCCATGAGGCAAGCCGGGCCCTGTATTGATGGAAGAAAACGTGGGAAAGAGAGGAACGGCTCGCAGGGAGGGACACCTGCCTCTTGAAGACCCACAAGGAGACTTCAGTTGAGTGAAGAGCACTTCCAGTAGAACAAGCTTGGCTCGCTTTCTTGAGTCCAAGCCAACATGTCTTTCAGAACTCTCCTGTTGGTTCCCTTCCCGGTGTGTCATCCTGAAGTGCAACTCCTTAAATTCCTTCAGAAGTTAAAAAATCCTCTTGTGGGCCACTCAAGGCTGGTTGCTGAGGAAGGAAAAAGTGCAAAGAAAGAGGCAGGCAGCTGCCCCAGAGCCAGGATGAAGGGGGCTGAGTCATCTTGGCAGCCACGGATAGTTCCCATGGCCAGAAACCCCCCCCCTCCTCTCCCCCCATTGGGGGACAGTATGGTCCTCCTGTTGATCTCTTCACCATTCTTTGCTCTGCGTAGTCCAGTCTGACTCTGGGCTTTTCAACACCCCAACTCTTATTATAAACACAAAGTTGATATATGAGCATGAAGGAAAACCAACCACATTAACAAAAACTCGGCTTTTGTTTTTTTTGTAAGGAAAAACCACTCTCAATTGCAGGTTGCAAGATTGCTTATTAATGGCTTGGATGGCTCTTTCTGGCAATGAAGTAAGAACACGGGTGTTCCTGGAAAATTTCCTCTCCGGATTTACGACATTTCTGAATCTCAGCATGAGTAATTCTTCGCCTTTGATTCGGCTGCTGGTTTAAATCATTGAGGGCTCGATGGCAGCTCGGATTTTCTTCCTTTTGATTCAAGCATAACTCCTAGCCCGGATAATTTTGATTCAAGCACAAGTCCTAACCCGGATAATTTTGATGCAAGCACAACTCCTAACCCGGATAATTTTGATTGAAACACAACTCCTAACCCGGATAATTTTGATTGAAGCACAACTCCTAACCGGATAATTTTGATTGAAGCACAACTCCTAACCCGGATAATTTTGATTGAAGCACAACTCCTAACCCGGATAATTTTGATTGAAGCACAACTCCTAACCCGGATAATTTTGATTGAAGCACAACTCCTAACCCGGATAATTTTGATTGAAGCACACAACTCCTAACCCGGGATAATTTTGATTCAAGCACAACTCCTAACCCGGATAATTTTGATTCAAGCACAACTCCTAGCCCAGAGAAAAGGGAAGAAGGAAGAGAGAGCAATCCAAAGTTCACCAAGGAATCATCAAATCGCCTTTGGCGATCCTTGAAGGGCCAGTGTCGTCTAAAGTTTAGAGTGTTAAACAAATTAACACCGTATTAAAAAAAAAAATGTTAAGGACCGCAGCCTTAATCCACCCACGTGAATTAATTCCAGTTCTTGGAACACGCCCTTTGGAGCACGAACGATTGCATAAAACCATTATTAAAATAAACTTTCGTGACTGGGCAACCGTTGTGGCTTTAATGAGTTTTGAATGTGCCTGAAATGAAATCTATTAGTTCAGCCAAAGTAGACAATTGGAACAATATCTTCTTGTTTGCGTGCATTTGTGTGCTAATTCCACTCCGGAGTTCTCCTGCTCTCATCCTGATCTTCTGAACAATTTTTTTTTTTTAAACAGGGGTTTTTTGAAGCCTCCAGTTTTTTCCAGTTTTCAAGCCGGCAAGGAATTCTTTCTATGACGTCTGACGATAACCTTCCAGAAGTGTTGTTCTTCGGAGCTGAAAACTTGGTCGGGCACCCTCTTCCACAGATGTGTGCTAGGGCTGGGTTCTGTGGAAACAGGAATCACTTGGCTTTGGACTCAGTTTGATATGCAGGCGTTGCCTGGGAGAGCTGTGCCAAAGGGTGCCCGTGGGTGCTGAAGCAGATCGCGGGGTCAGAATGGCAGCGTGGGAGACAGGCTGACCTTTGATCCGTTTTTGCCCTCCCAGAGGCTCGAGGAAAGCCTCCGGAGCCTGGGGAGGGCGAAAATGCCCCCCTCTGCCATGGTACAGGAGGCAGAGTAGGCCACGCCCACCATAGCCACGCCCACCTAGCAACGGGGCAGGGAACCGGTTGCTGAAATTTTTGAATCCCACCCCTGCCCAAACCCAACCAATCTGCTATCCCATGAGTGCCACCCGGTTCAGAGAGAGGGCGCAGCACCCTCTGGCCACAACAACGTTTCTTCCTCGCTTTACCGGAGCAGGCGGTACGTTGCAAGAGGAGCCGAGCGGTGCTTCGTGGCATATGTGGTTCTCAATAGGAGCGGTGCACCCTTTCGTTTCCAAACGGCTTCCCTCGTTTCAAGGAAAGTTGCTTTGGATCCAGTCCTCCCACCCACCCACCCCCCGGAGAAGAAAAATTGCTTGGTTGATCCCAACCAGCATCTGGATTCCATAAAACGACCAACCATCAGGAGTAGAAAAGCAGGTTAAGGGCTGCTCGGTGTGTCAATCCGCATATTCCCTCTGGGAGGGGCCATTCATCTTCCACCTGTGGCTTTACTCCTGAGTCGACCCTTGTTCCTTAGCTGTTCCCTTCTCCTGACAGCTCTGCGCATGTGCACGCTGGGAACAGGCCCCAGCTGTTCTTCTATCCCACTGATGTCCGACTCCGAAGGCAGGTGACAACTGTCAGACTGCCCTGACCCCATCTCTGCCTCCGATGCAGAGCCCTCATCAGAGACTTCCCCAGACTCAGAACTGTCTGAGTCTGCCATCAGCTCCGCTGGCCGCTGGCGGGCCACAACAGATGGGACAAGAGACACCCAGGTTACCGAAGCTCATTGGACACGAAGCAGGAATTCTCAGAAGGAATTATCCTGGATTATCCCAGAGGCCGGTTCCTGGTCGGGGGCCGTTCCCAGAATCTGTGGCCTTGCTGGGAATGCAGTTCCCCATAAGCAGAGATCTCACTCCTTGCACTGGTTATGAAACCCTTGGCTGGCATGGGAAGGTAGCCTTGGCAGAGGAGATGCCAGGAGGCCCTGAAACAGCTACTTTCGCTTCCCAAGACCTGGCTCAACCATGGCACACATCTGGCCATGCCAGCTGCTTCCGGGTGCCGGGAGCCTACAACTGTCCTCCACAGAGCCCTTGGCACCGGGTGCCCCTCGGGTCCACGGGGCAGCTGCCCTGTGGGTTTAGGCCAGCCGGCCAATGGGACATGCCTACTTCGGTGACAACGTCAGCCCGTGGCATCGGGCAACGCATTTTTTTCTGTGGTAAATAAATAGGTGCGCCTTTCCGTTTGAAAACAAATCCTCCGAGAAAAGGAGAGCTAAATCTGTCATTTAAGTAGCTTAATAGGGGCATTTTTTTAATATATAATTTTAACTTTGTTCCTAGGCTGGAAATAATTATACCTTAGGCAGCCAATTCTATTTAATATAGATCTCTCGGTGTGTAATTATTATGATTATTTCGTCGCTGCTGCAGTTTCGTGATTCACCTTCTAAGACTCTAAATCCAAAGAAGAGGCTGGAAACGCCAGCAGAAAGGGACTGTGGTTAAATAAATATGTTTTCCATCAAGGCCGCCTCAGATGCTTGCCCAGCTGAATTAAAATCCTCTTCATTTGGGGAAGGATCCTAAAGGCGCCAACCCAGCCCTTGGGCAGCATTCAGGTTGCCTCAAATTGCTCTTGGCCTCTTTCCCGCAGCCTCTGCCAAATCCCTGGCCGGATAAGAGAGCTGGCTGGGCCAGCATCAGAGACGATGGAGGCCTCGCTGTGCCGTTACGGGGAAGCCTCTGCATCTCAGGGCCTTGTATTTCTAGGTGCCGTCTCTCCCCTCCACGATGCTCTGTCCTCCCGAGGGTCTCTCTGGCCTGCAGGCTTGACGTGCTTAACTGACCCTGGGCACTTCAGCGCCAATGACCCTTTTTGATTATCACTCAGGTCATCATGGGAGGCGGACGGAAGTACATGTTCCCCAAGAACACGAGCGACGTGGAGTACCCGGATGAGGAGAAGTACAGAGGGACCAGGCTGGACAATAGGAACCTGGTCCAGGAGTGGAAAGACGCTAAGCCCAAAGACAAGGTGAGGGCGTCCAGCTCGGCAAAGCGGTTTCTGATCATGATGGATGAGAGAAGGAGGTTTAACCGGGTCGAATTGTAGTTTAGATTCCTCCTGGGCATCAGATCCATCCGGGAGAAAACTCAGGAGACAGGTGGTTGACTGGTTTCCTTCTCCTCCTCCTCCCACTGATAATGTTACCTAGTTTGGTAATGAAACGTCTGAGAGAAAAGAACCAAGCTCAGAGAGCACCAAGAACTCCACAGTCATTTTCCTCCTCCTCCTCCTCCTCCTCCTCCTCCTCCTCCTCCTCCTCCTCTTCAACCCCATTCCCTTCTAGCAATGATGATGTTATCTGGTTTGGATAATGAAATGTCTCCGAAAGCACCAAGGACCCCACACTCCTCCTCCTCCTCCTCCTCCTGGGCTCTCTCGGCGAGAGATCCACTGAGGATTGCTCAAGTTATCTCAGGGAACCCCGTCTTCAGCCTGGCGCTCCTGAGCCACAACCCCTTTTGTGAGCTGCCCTGGCTGTCCTTAGAGGGGGAGTGGGCAGGGATCCGGCTGCCAAAATCCTTCGGCTGAGCCTCCCCCTTTCCTCTTCTTCCAGAATGCCCTTTATCTATGGAACCGGGCGAGGCTGATGGAGCTGGACCCAGCGAAAGTCGACTATGTTTTGGGTGAGTTTGGCAGACGGGTGGGGAGCTCAGGTGGGCTCTCAGGGTTCTGGCCCCCCTTTAGCAGAGACTCCCCCCCCTCGAGAGCCCCTAAGGCCTCTGGAGTGACCTTTCTTGGCATGACTCGCTTGGCCAGCCCCGCCATTGAATTTGTCCCAGTGCCAGATGTCTTATCACACGAGCAAAGGACAATGCTCGCTCTTCAAGCCCAAATTGAAAAAATTAGGGGGGGAAAGGGCCGTGTGTCGAAAGTGCGCACATGTAATGCAATGTGCCCCCCTCTCCGCATGTGTGCAAGACTCCCGCACACTCCCCCCATGCATGTGTGCATGACCCCCCAGGCACCCCTGCGCATGCAAGCGCATCCCCACCACCACCCCGTTTTTGGCCTAGCAGGCCTCCCTACAGCCTCCTGGGCCCAAAAACAGGCCGTGGGGTAGGGCAGGCTGCTCCCTCTCCCCCCATTTTGGGCCTAGCAGGCTACCCTGCAGCCTCCTGGGCCCAAAAGCAGGCTGGGAGGGTGCACACCGCATCCCCCCTGCACTCCGCCCCTCCCCCTGTGCATGCACATGCATCTCTCGCATGCGCCCCGTGCATCCCGAAAATCAGCTGGCCGTCGGGAGGCACACATGTGCGCATGCGTGGTGGAGCTAAGCTAGGCGATGGCTTGTGTTCCTGCAGAGAGGGCTCTGCGTGCCAGCTGTGGCACGCGTGCCATAGGTTCTCCATCACGGACCTAAGAATTCGGGCATGTCGTTTGCCCTCCAGCGTGGGATGGATTTGCGGGCAATTTAAAGCCCTGAGAAGCCGCCTTGCCCGCTGCCTCATTTTCATTTAATGGGTTAAAGGGGGAGACCGATCTCTTCTGAGGAATCTGCCAGTCCGTTTTTTTGCCTTTGGGATAATTCATTGCTACAAGGTTCTACACTCCGTGTGAAAGTTTCCTCTTGCAAGGAGGGGCATAGGGGAGTTCCGGAGAGGGGAGGATGGGCAGATGAAGGTTGGCACCCTGGCAAGGATCAGAGCCTCGCAAGACCAGCCAGAATGTGTCTGTTCTGACCTAGGCTTCCCAAGAGCACGAAGCAGACTCCTTGTCCCGACAAAAACCCCTTTTTATTAAGTGACTGTGAATTCCTCTCATTCACATCCAGCAAAGGGACAATTTACAGCCACAGACCTTATCTGGCTTGGAGAGCTGCCAGGGCGATATCTTCAAAATTTGGCAAGGAGTCACGAACCAATTAAGCAAACTAATTGTCTCCTGCAAACTCCACTCCCCTTTCGCTCCTCTTTTATTCCCTCTGGGAGGGGCCCTTCATCGTCCACCTGTGGCTTTACTCCCAAGTCGACCCTTGTTCTTCAGCTGTTCCCTTCGTCTGGCAACTCTGTGCATGCGCACACTGGGAACAGGCTCCAACTGTTCATCTGTCTCACTGATGTCCGACTCCGAAGGCAGCTAACTGGCATACGGCCCTGGCCCCCTCTCTGCCTCCGATGCAGAGCCCTCATCAGAGCCTTCCCTAGACTCCAGGAGTGGCCCATGTTCCTCCCCAACCTCCTCACTGTCCGAATCTGCTGCCAGCTCTGCTGGCTGCTAGCGGGCCACAACAATGTCTTGACATGCAGCTGTGCACCCAGCAGCTCATCCCCAGGACAGCAAGACACTGAAGGGTGGAGGTCCTGGTGAAATCCCCCTCTTCAGCTGCCTGGGTGGCATCTTCTGGGCAGCTCTTGCCAAGTCCTGTCCCTCTTCTCCACAGGTCTCTTCGAGCCCATCGACATGATGTATGAACTCAGCAGGAACAACCAAACCGACCCTTCCTTGACTGAAATGGTGACAGTGGCGATCCGAATCCTCCAGAAGAACCCCCGTGGATTCTTCCTCCTCGTGGAGGGTGAGCCACGGGAAGGGGGCTGCGGGGGGTGTGTGTGACCGAAGAGGGCTGGGGGGGAAGGGACCAAGCTTGGAATTCACCCTCCTTGTTCTCTGAAGGAGGCAGGATTGACCACGGACACCACGAGGGAAAGGCCAAGCAGGCCCTGCATGAGGCGGTGGAGATGGACCGGGCCATTGGCGAGGCTGGCATCCTGACCTCTTCCGAAGACACCCTAACGGTGGTGACCGCAGACCACTCCCATGTGTTCACATTTGGGGGCTACACAACCCGTGGCAACTCCATTTTCGGTACGTGACATCTCCGTCCATTGATGCCTGTAACACTGTGTGAATGCTTGAATTCTTGATTAGCGAAATGCCCCTTTGGACAGCAGAGGGCACAGTTCCCTGGGGGACAGCCCAACTTGTGGGTCACATCCACTTGGTCCCAGCTAGTCTCATAACACTCCCTTGCCCCGGGCAAAAGGGGGCTGGGAAATAAATTCTGTATTCATTTAATGCCGGGATCGATCCTGTCATGTCCACATAGAGACAGGCCCCCAAAGAGGTTACGGGAGAAGCCTTGGTAAAGATGGCTTCCCTTTTCTCTAGGGCTGGCCCCGATGCAGAGCGACATGGACAAGAAGCCATTCACTTCCATCCTGTATGGAAACGGACCTGGGTACAAAATGATAGCTGGAGAGAGAGAGAACATTTCTGCGGTCAATTTCAGTGAGTACCAGTCAATTTCCTTCCAGCAAACGGGGTTCAGCGAGACCCCCGTTCATTTCCAAAGGGTCATCTACAATGGCTCTTGGGCCAGTCCAGGCTGGATTTCTCCCTGTTTTAGAACCCCTGGATCAGCCATGGCGCTTGTCCATCCAAAGGTTTGCCGGGGCATCTCTTCTCCCTTGACTCATCTCCGAATGCCAACGGGTATCGGCTCCGTATCCTGCCTTCCTTCGTCTTTCTCCCCCTCCCTCTGGAGGGCACTCACTTTCTCTCTCTCCCTCCGCAGCCGATACCAACTACCAGGCGCAGTCAGCCGTCCCGCTGCGCATGGAAACCCACGGAGGGGAGGACGTGGCCGTCTTCGCCAAGGGCCCCATGGCTCACCTCCTCCATGGGGTCCACGAGCAGAACTATATCCCCCACGTGATGGCTTACGCAGCCTGCATCGGTGAGAACCGGGCGCACTGCCGTTCGGGCGTGCCAAGCAGCCATTCCGGATCCATCCCTCTGATTTCGGCCATCTTCTCCATCCTCCTGCTCCGAGTTTTATTCTAAAGGCTCCAGCTCCTCGGACTCTTCGGATCGAGGTGTTTTTTTGTTTTTGTTTTTTTGGGGGCCTGTTTTGAGATTTCCAGCCTCAAACCTCCCTCGAGGGGGTTTCTGGCATCATGGAGGGGGAAAACCACATTGGACAACTCGGCAGGAACTGCTGTGCTCTGGAACAGAACAGTCCGTGGTGTTAGGATCGGTGCCAATCGGAGCAGCTGGAAAAGCCGGGATATTTTTTTTCCCCCTCCTCACCCCTCTTAAAAGAGAAGGATTTGTCCTATTGGAGAAGGAAGGAGCATACGTGCCTGGCTCACCTCGACAGACCGTAGGCATCTCCGGGCCTTGAACTCTTCCAAAGAGTGTTCCCCCCCAAACTCTTCCAAAGCCAATCCAGAACAGAAATAAGTCCCATTTGCCTGCCGTCCCGGTTGCCTGCTCTGACTCCCTTTCGCTTTGCAAGTGGCGGAACTCAAGAGACAATCGCATTTGATTTGAGCCTCGAAGAATTTCCTAGCAGCTTCCAAGTGCCCCCACCCCACCCCCACCCCAAAAGGAAGCAAGTCACAGGACATCCCAGGCAGGGAAGTCCATAAATTACCAAACCCCCATAAAAAGTAGATTTGTGCCTCACCCCCATCAAGTCAAATTTTTCCACTGCCAACAGCTGGGACAGGATGGCCCTTTCTAGCAGTTCTGAAGGCTTTGAAAACAGGTCGTGCTTTACATCCACTCCTCCACTGCTAAGAATGTGACTTTAAAACAGAGATCTCTGCCACAGGGGAAGGAATCCGGTGAAGCGAGGAGGCAGCAGTGGGTGCCATCGTAATAAGCCAGGGTGGGTAGGACCCCGGTGTGAACTCTCGTTACGCACTGCGGTTTGTAAATGACTTGGCTTGCAGATTAGCACAGTGTACAAACCCGGTTACTGTTTGCAGCTTATTCAGCAAACCCTGGTTAAAGGCAAACAAAAAATAATAATTGGCTTAATTTGAGAGGTGGACAGGAACGACTGCAGACTCCACCTTGGGGTGGGTGTACGGGAGGAGGACTGCTTACAAGGGCCGTGGTGGAAATCTTTAAGGGGGCGAGAGAGGAGAGCCTGTTTATGAATTGTGTCCCTCCTGCTGCAGAAGGCTGAGGGGAGGGGGAGGAAAGGAGAACTGGAAGGGGGGCCGCTGCCCTCCACAAAATAGGAAGGCTACAATTGAAGTCAGACAGGTCTCGGCAGGGAATGTCCCATCTGGAGGTCAGACTTGCTCTGGCTCTTCATGCCTTGAGAGCAAATTCCTTGTCTTTCCTTTTGCTTCTCATGGGCTGAAGGTTCGGGGCAATCAAAGGGCATCCGTTGTCCCTCAACTGGTCTTTTAACACCATGGAAGTCGTTTCCGCAAGACTCCCCCCCCTCCCAGCTGGATGGGCAAGGATTTGCCTTTAGAGGCCGTGCGTGCATGGAAGGGGAAGAGATGGGAAGGCTGGTCCATCTCTGAACTTCTCCAGAAGCTTCTGGTGATCGCAAGAGCACCAGGCTGGGCTCCCGGTCATCGTTAGTTGGGTGCCGCTTGGCTTCTCACAGTTCTTCCGGTCTTCCTCTTCAGCTTCCTGACTGTTGAGCAGGGAAGGAGTGTAGGAAATGGGGTTGGGGGCAGCCTCTTTGCCCTCTGCAAGGACGGAACCAGTGGTGGTATTTAGCTGGTTTTAGCCGGTTCGGGCGAATGGTTAGCGGTGGCTGCGGGAGGCTCCGCCCACCCGCCCTGACATCATCACATCCTGTTTCTGACGCTCTGCACATTTGCGAACCGGTAGCGAAGGTAAGTGAGTACCACTCCTGGACAGAATCTTCACCTCTCCCTGCTACTTTGACAGTCTTTTAAGAGCACAGGGAGATTTTCACTTCCAGACAGAGAAAAGCGTCAGACAAGCAGCTTCTTCATCTTTGAGGGGTGGATGGAAGGCTTCTGTGCCAAAGAAAAGATGCCCAGATCGACTGGCAGGAACACGGGCACTTTTTGGGGGAGAGAGATCAGTGGGAGTTGCTCTCAATTTATATATAAAAAAAAACAACTCTAAGTTGATTTTTTTTTTTTTTGTCTTTGTTTGCATAACTTTTTAAAAAATTGAAATTCAGGGTTTGGAAAGGAGGAATCTGAAATAAAATTATTTTGGACCAGCTGAAGAACTGGCTGTTTTGAAAGGACAAATGGGGCACTTTCCAGGGCACGACGAGTATCCAGAACCGCAGATCTGATTTGGGAAACAGCTGGACAAGAAAGCAATGGGAAAGCCATCTGCTGAGGACGTTTCACAAAAGAGGGTTCTTCCAAAGTTTTGGAGTCAGCTCTTCTCTCTGCTCGGTTGGGCCATCCGGTTCCAGATGTTGAATTGGGGCCCATCCTTCCCATCCCATTCACACGTTTCAAAGGAGGAGCAGGGAAAGAATGAGAAGATTAGATTAGATTAGAATTCTTTATTGGCCAAGAGTGATTGCGCACACAAGGAATTTGTCTCCGGTGCATAAGCTCTCAGTGTACATAAAAGACAAGATACATTCGTCAAGAATCATAAGGTACAACCCTTAATGATAGTCATAGGGTACAAATAAGCAATCAAATCATACTAGGAAACGATAGATAGATATAGATAGATAGATAGATAGATAGATAGATAGATAGATAGATAGATAGAGATAGAAAGAATTAATTAATTCTTTATTGGCCAAGTGTGATTGGACACACAAGGAATTTGTCTCCGGTGCATAAGCTCTCAGTGTACATAAAAAGGCAAGATACATTCATCAAGAATCATAAGGTAAAACACTTAATGATAATCATAGGGTACAAATAAGCAATCAAATTATACTAGGAGATAGATAGATAGATAGATAGATAGATAGATAGATAGATAGATAGATAGATAGATAGATAGATAGATAGAGATAGATAGATAGAATTCTTTATTGGCCAAGAGTGATTGGACACAACAAGGAATTTGTCTCCGGTGCATAAGCTCTCAGTGTACATAAAAAGACAAGATACATTCGTCAAGAATCATAGGGTACAACCCTTAATGATATTCACAGGGTACAAATAAGCAGTCAAATCATACTAGGAAACAATCGATATAAATCGTAAGGATACGGCAACGTTACAGTCATACAGTCAGAAGTGGGAGGAGATGGGTGATAGGAACAATGAGAAAACTAATAGTAATAGTAATGCAGACTTAGTGAATAGTTTGACAGTGTTGAGGGAATTATTTGTTTAGCAGAGTGATGGCATTCGGGAAAAAACTGTCCTTGTGTCTAGTTGTTCTGGTGTGCAGTGCTCTATAGTGTCGTTTTGAGGATAGGAATTGAAACAATTTATGTCCAGGATGCGAGGGGTCTGTAGATATTTTCCCAGCCCTCTTTTTGACTCGTGCAGTAGACAGGTCCACCATGGAAGGCAGGTGGGTAGCCATTGTTTTTTCTGCACTTCTAATTATCCTCTGACGTCTGAGTCTGTCTTGTTGGGTTGCAGAGCCAAACCAGACAGTTATGGAGGTGCACATGACAGAATCACCCCAAAGCCATCCAACGAGGTAGGGGAAACAGAGGGGCTCCTAAAAGAAATACCACCCATGGCTGCTCTGCTATCATCCTGGGGGGGGGCTGATGGGTTGCCAAGGGGCTTCGGGGTGCTTTAATTGTGGAATGCGTACAGAGGGGAGATTCAGAAATTTGCCATTAGAGGCTGGTGGCTTGCAGGTTATGTCTGGGAAAGTTTGACACCTGGGCTGACAGGTGGAAGGAGGGAGGGGGCACATCGCCTTCCTCGCCCCAGAGCCCCTATTACTGAGGACAAGGGGTGAGGACACGCCCTCCCCTCGTCTGGGGTGCTGCAGAGCTGTTTGCTGAGCAAAGTCAACAACACTGGACTAAACAGACAGAGTGTCTGATTTGGCACCTTAATAAATACATTTATTCCTATATTTAGGGGCTAGTGGTTTTGCCCTCCGCCTCCCACAAGCGCAACCAGGCACAGAACTCTAGTCAAAAGGTGTCAGGAGCCGAAAATGACAAATAACAGAGCAGGAGCTTCTCGAATGAAAACGTCTCTAGGTTGAATTAGAGATTCAGCCTAGAAATGAGGTGGAACTTTCTGACAGCGAGAAACAATCAACCCCGTGGAACAGAAGTTGCCTTCAGGAGTTGTGGGAGCTTCATCACTGGAGGCTTTCGAGAAAAGATTGGACTGCCATTTGTCAGAAATGGTGTAGGGTCTCCCGCTTGAGCGGGGAGGGGGGGTTGGACTAGATGACCTATAACCGTGATGGCGAACCCGTGGCACGCGGGCCACAGGTGGCCCGCGTAGACATATCAGTGGGCACGCGAGCTCAACTCTGGCACACATGCTCATGTTGGCCAGCTGATTTTCAGGCCTTCTGGGCCCACCAGAAGTTGGTAAACGGGCCTCCGGGGAGGGTGGGGAAGGCAGTTTTTGCCCTCCCCAGACTCCTAGAGAGGCTTTGGAGCCAGGTGTGAGAGAAAAACGGGCCTACCGGGCCATTGCGTGCCAGGAGGGGGGAGGAGGGGTCGCGCGTGCATGTGTGGGGGCGGGATGCATAAAATTATGGGTGTGAGCACGTGCGCTCACGCCTCCCCAGCCTCCCACTCCTGGCACGCGATGACAAAAAAGTTAGCCATCACTGACTTATAAAGTCCCTTCAACTCTTGCTAATCTGTAAAATATAAACCTGCAAGTGGGGCAGCGCCAGGCGGAGGGCGGCCGTCAACGGAGGGAAAGGGGACAGATGCCGGCAGCTCTGGGAGCCTCCTCGGCTCAGCAAAGCCCCCCCTCCCCGACAAGAGGGTCTCCCTGGGCCAGTCGGAGTTCAGAATCGCACATTAGGATCCCATTTCAAAAGAGAAGCACTGCAAGGCTTCTTTAATGGAATTGCCTTGAAAAGATCTGCCTGCTCTCCTTCCCTTGGCATGTTCGGCCGGTGGTTAAAGGAGGGAGACTCGGGTTTCGGAGAGGAAATGCCAGATACTGAAGCCCCCCTCCCCACCCCTGTGAGCAGAAATACCCACCCCCCTCCTTTTTGCTCTGTGTCTAAATTAGCCACAACCAAGCATAATTTTCTAAAGTTTGCTTGGGCTCCTGGCCAGGGGGAACATCGCAACCGCTTACTGGCCAAGAGCCTCAGTGGAAAGTTCAGAGTCCAAGAGAGAAGCTCGGGAGCCCTGGCACCTGGTGCCTCAGCTGGACGGAAGCCCTAATGGGAAACATCTGGGCAGACGGGAACGGCGCTGGCCCTCCTTGGATCTGGCCAGAGGAGGCCTCATCCATCTCACCTGAAGTGATGCCACAGGTGCTTTCCAGACAGATGTCGACAACCTTGTTAGGGCAGGAGTCTTAGTGGACAACCAGTTAAATATGAGCCAGGAGTGAGTGGTGGCAGCCAAAAAAACCAACGCAATCCTAAATTGCATTAACAGAGGGATTGAATTAAGATCAAGTGAGGTACTAATACCACCCTATAAAGCCTTAGTGAGACCACACCTAGAGTACTGTATCCAGTTTTGGTCACCACACTATAAAAAAGATGTTGAGACTCTAGAAAGAGTGCAGAGAAGAGCAACCAGGATGATGAGGGGACTGGAGACTAAAACATATGATGAACAGTTGCAGGAACTGGGCCTGGCTGGTCTAGTGAAGAGAAGGACCAGGGGAGACAGGATAGCCAGCTTCTAATATTTGAGGGGCTGCCACAGAGAGGAGGGGGTCAAGCTATTCTCCAAAGCACCTGAAGGCCAGACAAGGAACAATGGATGGAAACTGAACAAGGAGAGATTCAGCCTGGAAATAAGGAGAAATTTTCTGACAGTGAGAACAATCAACCCATGGAGCAGAAGTTGCCTTCAGAAGTTGTGGGAGCTTCATCCCTGGAGGCTTTCAAGAAGAGACTGGACTGCCACCTGTCAGAAATGGTGTAGGATCTCCTGCTTGGGCAGGGGGTTGGACTAGATGACCTTACAAAGTCCCTTCCAATTCTGTTAATCTGGTCAGGGAGGGTTGTACCTTCAGGATCCTCTGCTTGAATTGGTTGTTACCACTGATCAGCTTCTGTTGTGGCCCGCCAGCGGCCTGCGCGGATCATGGCTGATCCCGACAACAAGGAGGCTGGTGTGGTGTCGCGCCATCAGCCTGCGCAGCCGGCGCTCACGTCGGACAGCGAGGAGGCCGAAGAGGATGTGGTGCCAAAGGCAGAGACTCAGCCAGGGCCTTCAGAACCTCCAGAGGCTCCTTCCAGTGGAGAGAGCGAAGTGGAGGAGCCTCTCCTCAATGCTCGGGCACGCAGGGCTGCCAAAAGGCAGGAGTGGCTACTCAGGAGAAGGAGATCTACTCAAGAATAGGGCTTGAGGATAATTGGCCACTCCCTTAGCCTATTTAAATTGCACGCAGCTAGTGCTTTCTTGCTAGAAACAACGTCTCATTACTACAGAGCATCTTGGAGAGCGAGCAACTTCTCATATCCGGTTTTCTGGGCTGGTTGCCAACCTTTGTCGGACTTTGTTCTTCATAACTTTGATAAGGACCCTTTTCACGGGAAGCCTGCATTCTTGAAAGGGGTTGGTTTGGAATTAAACAGTGTTTGCGAAGCTTGGTGTGTGTCACATTCTCTGAGAATCCGAAGCTGGGGCAGAACAGCTTCGCTCTTCTCGGTCACTTCCAGACCCCTTCGCAATTACGGTTCCTGAAATGAAATTCCAGGTTGATTTTTTTTTTCTCCCTACAAGATGCCCCCAAGCAAGTCAGATTCTGGGAAGAAACGCCCTCCGCGTGCCTTAATCCCAGGCCGTGTAACCAGGCAGGGACGCTAAAGTAAACCCCAAGCCACACAATAGATACCTCTGTGTCCGCAGATGCCACTTGGGCCCCTCTGTCCGGGTGGCTGTGGGAGGGTGGAGAGCCTCAAGAGAAGCCCCTGCTTCCACATCCCCTCCTGCCTCCTGGTGGGCACCAAAGGGCAGGGGGGCAAGGAAGAAAGGGCACTTTTCTCGGTCCACTCCGGATGGGCAGATGTCCTTCGAAGCAGCGGAGGCCACAAGGGAACCTCTGGGCTGCTCCTGGCTCCAATTCTTGCCAGGCCTCACAAGCAGGCCACCGGGGACGATGGGTCCTCCTCCC